AAAAAAACAAATAATAATGGAACTATTGAACATTCCCAAGTAGATATATACTGTAAAAGCTTACTGGATTGCCCATGGGGTTATTATTCTGCATTTCTGGGACTCTGCTCGATGGGAGAAGGTAGAGGTGCTTGAGTTCTTCAAAACACAGTGTTGAGGAGGACGATATGTCATATTGTTTGAGATGATAAGATCGAGGAGAAAAACCTCACACCAATAATGGATAAGTTTTTAATTTCTTTAATGTGGCAAAATTCGAAACTACACAAATTGTATAATAACATTCAACAAAAAAGATGAGTTACTGGATGTCTACTCCGCGATTAGCAACACGTTGTAGACCCGTATTCAATAGATAACGATGAATAGAAAAAACAACGGCTAAAACGACAACAACCCAGTTGATAGTGGAAAAGAAAAGTTGTTCTCCAAATAAAAAAAACGAGTCCGAAGAGATCATTTATGGTTAGTCATAAATAAGTGAGGGCAACCGGAGAAAAAGTGAAAGGCTATCATTCAAGACAAAAGAGGACTAGCTCTTAGCAGCTTCCTTGATCATTCTACGAGCTTGCATGAATGCTCCTACTAGACCTCCTATCTGTATGCGATCCGAAGCACCAACCGCCAGACGTTGCTCGGTGTCAGCAAGTGCAGAAATCAAGCATATCATCACCTATAATGAAAACAATCATGGCACAAAACGGATATAGATTTTATAACAATGGGAAAGAAGAAAACCATTAAGTGCAATAACCAGCAGCGGTTGACATCCATGAGATATTCGCTTTATGTTTGCTGGAAAATGTTGGTTATCAACGCGGTACCTGTGCAGACTTCACATGAAATTCCACTTCTTCAACAAAGAAAGGGCTAGCAGCACACAGTGGATCGAAAGAGCTTATTTACATTCATCTTGAAAACACGTGCTAATGAGAGATGGGATTTACAAATGAATAAGAAACCCATCCGGTGCTCATCACATCCATTTAAAAACCGAGCAAGGGGTAGCCGCCACTCTATACAGGTCAGCGACCGTACCAGCGTTCAACTGTATGATTAGTAAGTACCGGTGATCAAACGAGGGGCTAAAATAGAACAAGGAAAAC